CAGCAGAGACACCTGTCATTTGCCACCTGGTGCTCAGACACAGACCTGAGGGGCACCATTCTCTACTTCTCTTTAGGGCTGAGGAGGCATCATTTACAAGTTTACGGCTAGGTCCCCTAAAGTTACGGAGAGCCCCTGGGTTTACAGGACATATATGAAAATCAGAATTAAGTGATGAGGGTAGCGCTGTGGCATAGTGGGTAAAGCTGCCGCCTACAGTGCCGCATCCCATATGGACACTGGTTCAAGTCCTGGCTGTTCCACTTCTGATCCAGCTCTCTGCTATGGCCTGGGAAAGCAGTAGAAGATGGCCAAAGTGCTTGGGCCCCTGCACCTGCGTGGGAGACCCAGAAGAAGCTTCTGGCTCCTGGCTTGGGATCGGCGCAGCTCCAGCCATTGCAGACAACTGGGGAGTGAACCAGCAGATGGAAGACCTCTCTGCCTCTCCTTCTCTCTCTGTGTAACTCTGACTTTCAAGAAAAATAAATAAATATTTATTAAAAAAAGAATTAAGTAATGTCTTCTGTTAAGAGGGGAAAACATCAAAAGGAAGACCACACTCTCTCCTCCTCCTTAGTGAGAAGCTGTGGATGGCGGGAAGCTTGCTGTTGAGTTACAATGCAGTGTTGGGTGAAATTTGATACAGGGAACAGGTGAAGATAATGTATTACTGTGATGATACTGACCTTGAGACAAAATAGTCTGCAATGGTTTCTCCTCCTTCCCCCATCATCAGCCCTCCCCAACAGTCTTCCCCCACCGGCTGCCTCCTCTCCCGCTTCCCACCTTCCCATTTTCTCCCTCTTCCCCCTCTTGTTTGTCCTCCTCCTTTCTTGATAATCACCATAGTGTTTTGGCTGTCTTGGGGTTGCGTTTTCACTAGGCTTAGCTGTCTCATCGGCTGCTGCAGCCAGGGAGGCCCAGTGTGCTGTGGGCAGAGCTGCCTTCCAACTGTCGTAGAATGTTCAGGCCGTGGGAGCCGTGTGCTTAACTTATGCAGAGCTCAGGAGCCTCACTCACTCGTGGAGTTCAGACATGCATTGACCTGTGCCAGGGCTTTGGGTGCCCCAAAAGAGGCTGCACTGAGTGGAAGCGATGAAGTCCCCAACACAAAGCCACACGTGAAAGAAATTTGGTCCTCAGGTGGACCAGACTGAGCCTCAGGGGCTGCGTTCCCAACAGAGCCCATGTTCCAGGTAACTCCCCAACCTACCTACCTGGTCTTCCCAACTCCACCTACCAGCCACAGACGGCTTCACACACACACACACACACACACACACAACACACACACACACACACACACAGAGTGCCATGGCCTAACGTTAGGGGCGGGCAAACTAAGGCCCTTGGGAAAAGCCTACTTTGGTAAGGCCCGAGAGGGAAGAGTTATTTTTAACATTTAAAGAGTTTGATGTCTAGAACCCCCCCCCCCCCCCCCAGCAAAAACAAAGGATGAGTGTGCTGTGGAGACTGTGGTCTTGGAATTAAATCTTTGGCTGCTTCCACGTGACCACGTGACGTTTGCTGAGCCCTGTGGAGGACTGCTCAGCTCTGTCTCCCCAAGCCCTCTTGGTAGTTTTGTTTGGAAAGAGTACGGCCCAGGAGTGGAAGTGGCCCCTCTGCTGGCTGGGCCTTGACGTTGGTGTGCTGGGAGAAATGGCCTGCCCTGGGACGTCGTCAGTCGTGTCAGTTGTGACTCGTGGGTGGCAGAGAGACTGAGACCATGGGGCTCAGCAAACAGCGTAGGATGGGGAAGGTTGTAGTGCAGGCCCTGGGTCTGCCTGTCTGGTAGACACCGTTCCCACCACCTCCCGGCCATGGTGGAGGGATGATGGGGGAGGGAGAGCCCGGGAGAAGCCCAGGTGTAGAGAACTGGGAATGAGGCTGTGGGCTTCAAACACACCATGTCTGTAGCATCATGAGCAGCGAGGCTGAGAACTTCTGCCTTGCCTTTGTGCTCTGTACTTTACAAATTTGTCATCTTCTGTTTGTGAGACCACTTGGAAGCAGGCAAAATGACGGTTACTGTTGGGCTTAGTTGATAGAGGAAGAAGGGGTTGAGCCTTAGTGAGGGAAGTGTCTTCCTCAGGACTGTAGAGTATGACCTGGTGGTGTGGGAACGCAAACCCAGATTTCTGGTGCTAAGTCCTGAGCTCCGTTCTCAGAGTCGGTGGGTTCTGATGTGCACCTGTAACACAGCAGCCGCCACCTGCAGTATCGCTTCCGTCCATTTCTGAGCTCACTGTGTGAACATGTGAAGCAACAGGAATGCTTAGAGTGGCTCCCAGATTCTGTGTGTCCTGGCTTAGTCACCTTCTGACAGGGAAAGACATGGGAAAGAGTTAGCAGAGTCCAAAGGCAACTGGCACTGCTCTGGGTGATGTACGGCTGTCTGGGGACGCTGGATTGAGACAGTTTACTTGAATGTTCTGGTTTTGCTTTCACAAAGAACCTATTATGAAAGGAGTCATTGAGAGAAGTAATTATTGACACTATGACAACCTTAATCAAAATTGGAGTAGTTTCCACTATTTTACCATAGTGTGAAACACAGAGTTAATTGAGTGGCTGTTTTGTGTGTGTGTGTGTGTGTGTGTGTGTATGAGTTGGATGTCAAAGACTGGCATTCTTACATGCCATGCCAGGAGAATTTTTTACATTTACTGGCCACCTTCACACTTGGATACTTTGGTAATTAAATATACAGCAAAGCCAGCTGTTTTCTGCCCAGGCACTAGCCCTCCATCTAGATCTGGACCTGAGGACTGGATTTGGTCCTGGAGCCAGTGTCGCTGACAGCAACAGCAACCCACCGTCCTGGGGAGCCCGACCTCACCCCGACTCGGATAAGGGGAGCGCCGAGGGCACTTGCCACCTAGGGTAATGCTGCCTTGGCACTGTTCATATAATAAGTTAAAGAATAAAGCCTTTGAAGTCATGCTTGGGAAGAGTGAGGACAGGAAAGTGAGAGCCGCAATTCACGCAGTGCACTTTTCATCCAAGTGCGAAGTCATGTCCATTTCTCAAGATGGGTCTGCCATCTCTCACAGTCCCCCTAAGGCTGTGTCACCCGTGGTTTGTGGCCTGGGTGCTCCCTGGAGATCTGCGTGGCTGGCTCCTGGTCCCTTCTAGGTAACCGCTCAAGTGGCGTCTCTGCAAGAGCCTTCTGTCGGCTGAACCTGGAGTTTCTGCCCTTGGCTCCACCCTCTGTGTTCTTGGCCATTGTCTTGTGTTATTTTCTCCATGGAACTTGTCACCACATGTATTTATTTCCTGGCGTTTTGGTGTCTCTTCCTCTCACCTGTGGATTGTGAGTCGTGCGGACACAGAATCCGCCTGGGACTGTGTGCTTTGCTGTTCTCTGCAGCATATAGAGCAGACTATGGCATGTGGGAGGTCTCAGGGCATCCACGGAGTGGATCTGTGAATGATTAATCCGTGATTAATGTGTGCATCCCTGCTGATTAATCCCTCAGTGTAGCGCCCAATCCTTGCTTGTGGTTTTTGCCTGCTGCAGGAATCCAAAGAAACTGTATTAGTTTCCTCCTGCTGCAGTACCACAAACTTAGTGATGTAGACAATACAGATTTAGTGTCTTACAGTTCTAGAAAGCAGGAGTACAACACAGGCCCCAAGTCCGGGTGTCAGCAGGACCGTGTACCTTCCTGGAGGCTCGAGGGGAAACTGTTTCTTTCCAACTTCTACAGGGTGTACACATCCTCTGCTTTGTGGCTCCTCTCTGTCTTTAGAGGCAGCTGTGGTGGGTCAAGTCCTCACGCTGCCATCTCTTTGGTTCTCAACTGCTGGAAAATGGTCCCTCATTTTAAGTATAGCTGTGATTAGAGTGCACTTACCTGGATCAACCAGGACAGTCTGTCATCCCAAGGCCCTGAACCATAGTCACACCTGCAAAGCCCTTTTTGCCCTGTAGGGTAACACATGCACAGGTTCCAGGGACTAGATCATGGGTGTCCTTGGTGGGAGGGAGGCCTTTTTGTGCCTTCATGTGGATTTACTCACAGGAAAGGTCCAGGAGTGCTTAAGCCCAAATCCCAGTTTCTCTTCCAGCATATATATTGTGAAGGGGAGAGTCTCCTCGAATCCCTCATTCCACAACAGGTACCCTCAGAGCTTGTGCCATTGTCTACCTGTTGTTCCTGATGGCAGGGTGGGCCTCAGCTGCTGTGTTAGAGGGTTAGTTAGGTTGATTCTTGAGAAGTCCACCTGAATTCATTAACCTGGCCTGACAGAAACCGTGTTGCTGATCAGAGTGGAATCCATGTGCCCAGAGAGTTTCAAGGGCTCTAGAGCTGCAGTGATGGTGGTGACAGATGATAAATATTGAGTACAGGCCTATTTGGAGTAATTTATTAACTCACACAATCTTTGTAATAATCCTGTATTTGAAGTTCCATTATTGTCATATTACAGATGACAAAACAAAAGCAAGGGGAGGCAAATATATTGCCTAAGATCACAAAACTAAAGAGCAACCGAGCCAGGACCCTCTAACCACTGTACTCCCCTCCCTCCCAAGGGGCCAGGTAGAGGATGGCTGTAGAGGCCCCCGGGAGGCCGGAACGGGAGCTGAGGACCCGTCTTGGTTTCTGAGTGCATGTGCATGTTAGACAGGCACTGCATAGTTTACACCTTGGGAGTCCCCAGAGCGTGGAACAGACCCCACTGTGCATCAGGCACAGTCACCTGCTGCAGGAGCCCAGATGTGGAAGACGCTGTGCTGTGTGTTCTCAGGCAGCCCGGGTGAGCCGACGTGGGTGAGGTACCCTGTGTTGCGCCACTTGCTGAGCCGTCTGTTGGACTTCTGGGTTTTCTGAAGGAGAGAAAGCAGAGTGGCCAGAAACCCCATTTTGACATGCTTGCATCGAGGGCTACCAGATCGAGGCCCCCATCAAATCACTTCGATGCATTGAGGAAAAAATGCCAGTTGTGTTGGTCTATGTCTGCAGGGTGGGAGGAGGCGAGAGGGATGATTGAGGAGTTCTCTGTAATGGTGGGTTGTTTCTGTCCCTGTGCCTAGATGACAAGTTGAGGAAGGGAAGCGAGTCCAAGCACCCCATTGCCCAGAGAACCTGTGCGGCTTGTTCTGCCATGGAGTAGGCTGGAGAGAGTGATTGACACGTGTGATCTTCCTCGCATGGCCCTGCAGAGGACTGATTGACAGCAGGCTTTCCAGGTTGGCCTGTGGGAGCATGTAATAGGTTAGCTTGTCTTTGGGATAGACAAGCCCTCTAATAACCCAGCAGTGGCCACAGGAAGGGGAAGCCGCCTCCACTCCCCTCCACTCTCTTGGCTTTAGTATGGTAGCCAGGCAATCTCAAGAATTTCTTAGGTGACAGTGGCATTCTTCAGTGGGTTTTAGCTTATCTGCAAAAGCACGAGCAGCAACTGTGTGTTCCGGGCTTCAGGGGAGGGAGTAAAAAGTCCCTCCCTGGAAGCACCTGCAAATACTTAGGTGAATAATCAGTCCCGTGTGGTTGTCACAAGCCATGATGGGGCTGAGACTTTACCTCACCTGTAAACTGACAAGTTAGCCTGCCAGTTACATACACGCTGGCAGAAGACACACAACCCCCCGGGGAACACACCAAGGACCTACTGCTCATGACTTGGCAGGCACAGGAGCTTTGCACTCTTGTCAGTTCCCCTGGTGCCCCCGCTCTCGTGGAGGGCAGTGCAGAGTGGGTGCAGGTGGGTGCGTTCACACGGTGGCTGTGGTCACAGCAAAGGAACTGCGGAGTGGAGGAGATTGCCATTATCAAGGGCTCCTGGCAAACTTGCCCGACCTTTGCCCTGGTTTTCATTGTTCTTGCTGGGACTGAGAGTTATCCTGTGTTCCGGAGGAAGGCGTGATCTTGATCTTCCCAGGCAGTTTGCTTTAGAAACATTCTGGAAAAGGTAACTGGCACCAAGGATGTTGCAGGATGAAGAATTGCTTCCCAACAGAAACTGAGACATAGTTGGCTAAGTTTCTGCCAAGGAGCATCAGAGGTGTTTTCTTCAGGTGTACAGAACTGTACCTGTGAGTTGATACGATCAGCCTTCTGTTTGAGGAGGAAAAACCCTTTTCAGTTCTCTTCACTTAGTGACTCCCACTTCATTTGGAATGGGGATCCTCCCATTGTTGCTTAAATACTCAATTTCCACGGAGTTTAGAACCGCCCATGAGTTGGAAATTAAATGGCATTTCAATGAAAGCTGCTTACATGGACTGTGCGAAGTGTCTAGCGTTTTTTTCTCTTTCATCATCTTTGGTTAGAGGAGTAAGTAAAGGTATGAATTTGTCATTTTTAAAAATTGCACATTTTTATCGGATACAGTGTAATGCTTATAACATGATTGAACAAGCTGGTTAGTTTTTCTGTTTCCTTAACCACTTAAACATTTCGTAGTTTAATGATGGCACGTTGCCTCTGGGGTACAACTTGACACCCCCAATGCATGCATGAGTGGGCAATGTGTGCCGCCTAGCTGAGGGCACTCAACATCTCCATCTCCCCCATTACCATCCTGCACGCAGGGTGGCTTGAAGCTGCTCCCTTCCAGCCATTTATAAAACATGTAATGGCTTACTGGGGCACTATGGTTCTTCCCATTGTGTGTAGTACAACAGAATTTACTCCTTCTATCTAATTGTGTTTTGGAATCCATTATCCAACTTCCCACTACTCTCCTTGTCCCAAGTCCATTCTAGTATCTCTAATAATCACTGTTCTGTGTTGAAATGACAGAGACATGCAGTATTTGCCTGTGCCTGACTTCACTTAACATAATGTCCTCTACCTCACCCCAGTTAGAACTGCTGTTGTTAAAGAGACAAATAATAACACACACTGGCTTGCGTATGGAGAAAAGTAAACTATTAAAGGGAACGTGAATTAGTACAGCCATTATGGAAAACAGTATGGAGTTTCATTAAAAACTAAAAATAGATCTATCATGTGATCCAGCTACCCCACTTCTCGGTTTATATCTAAGCAAAATGAAGTTAGCATATCAGAGAGAGCCCTGCATTCCCATGTTCATTGCTCCATGATTTGACACATAAATGTATATTTACATATATATATGATATGGAATCAGCCTAGATGCCCATCAACAGATGAATGAATGAAGAAAATTTGGAAAACACACTCAAATATTATTCAGAAATAAAAAGAATGATATCCTATCATTTGCAGCAAAATGGAAAGTATGAATTTTGTCATTTGATAAGTGAAGATACTTATTGATGCCTACATAAAGAATTTTTTTCAGAATCAGAAAGCCACATAATTTTCTTTCATTTCCATGATAGTTTTCTAAGCAAATTCTTTAAATGAAATTTTTTTCAGAGATTTATTTATTTATTTGAAAGTCAGAGTTACACACAGAGAGGAAAGACAGAGACAGAGAGAGACAGAGAGAGACAGAGAGAGAGAGGGAGGGAGGTCTTCCATCTGCTGGTTTACTCCCCAGTTGGCTGCAGTGGTCAGAGCTGAGTCGATCTGAAGCCAGGAGCCAGGAGCTTCTTCCAGGTCTCCCAAGCGGGTGCAGGAGCCCAAGGGCTTGGGCCATCTTCTACTGCTTTCCTAGGCCATAGCAGAGAACTAGAATGGAAGAGTGGAGCAGCCGGGTCTTGAACTGGTGCCCATATGGATGCCAGCACTGCAGGCAGCAGCTTTACTCACTGCGCCACAGGGCCAGCCCCAAAATGAAATTTTTTTGACACACATGTTTCTTCATATTTGATTTTTAGTCAACTCCTAAAATATGTTGTCTTTATCTATAGTCATTGTACAAATTACAGACCTATCCCTGCCTAGTCAGTGAATTGTGATAGGGTAATCTGTGAGATGACTGAACTCTGAACATATTTTTTAGGTTTAAACTTGATACAAGGCTCATGAAGTGCTGTCCATGTCTGCAAGTTCAAGGACATGTCTTAAGGGTGGCACGGTGCTGGGAATGTGGCTTTAAGTGCAGCTTGATTTGGATTGAACTGCAGTTCTGTCAATTCCTAATTCTGCAATTTAACTGAAATACCTGAGTCTCAGCTTTTTCATCTATAAATTGTATATAATGATAACTACTCCGTAGGCTAGTTGTTCAGTCTACATGAAAGAGTCGTTTGAAGCTGATACAGTCCTTTAATAATGTAAAGAGAATACTGAAGTCAGCTCAGGACTACTATAAGATTTTTTTGATTACTTTCAGCTTGAGTGAAGCTTCAAATTCTTAGTTAAATTTCTTCTCTAAAGTACTCATTTATTGTCTATTATTTTTCTAGTTATCTGGGTGCATTGGGGAATTAAAATCATCATTTAAAAGTCATCCCATGGATATCAAAGCTCATAAATTGTTAGATGCTAATGAGAAACTCAAGAATCTGCTCCAACTTGTTATTGTCAGTGCACATAGAGCTATCTAGGGAAAAGCAGTGGTTGACTTAAATTCCCATAGTAAAATCCTTTGCAGCTTGCAAAATGTGTCACTCACTATAAAGTTAGTTCAATTATTTACCAGATACACAATACTAATCCAGGGTGAAAGTGTGAAAGACAACAGGAAGAAGGGACAGTTGCCTTTCTAGCGCACGTGCTAGAGTAGCATTAAGAAATAATGCCTGCTTACTCGTGCCTGAGTGTCCTCAGTTTTATGGGAAATCAGGAACCAAATATTTAAAAACTAATTATAATTAATTAATATGACTAAAAGAGTTATGACAGTTTGGGATACTATTTTTATCAACCTAATCAATCTCTGCAATGAAGAATAGGAGACATTTTAGATTTGACAAAGACCTTCAAAGTTTTGCCATGGGAATGGCTGGAGAAAGCACCATGAGCAAATGAGTGAAATTCTATACTCTTTGGAATGAGCAGTGACTGCACTGTGAATATAAACACGGTCATGACTGAAGAGGTAGAAAGAGAGGGAGAGGAAAATTAATGTGTTTCAGCAGGTGGCAAGATGGAAGATTCTCTCTTCTGGTGTGCAAATCTCTCTTTGACACTATCATGTAGAAAATAGCACTGTACCAGCTTTCATTAGGTGTGTCTGTGTGTAAGAACACACACATATTGATATGTGTGCATATTTATCCATATGTGTGTGTGTATATATATATATATATATCTCCAGGATGTTTTTAGATTATAGACAAAACGTTGACAGCTTTACTTAGTAGAGATTGGTTTAAATATTTACTTCTTCCCAAGTACTTCCATATACCTAAATTTTAAAATAGTAGCTATTGCAAAAAGAACAAACTAAACAATGTGGAGGCTATGTTGAACTAATCACAATTAGTTATTAGTGGACATAATTGGATGACGCTGATGTTATTTCTGTTCAGTCCAGATTGTTATAAGCATGGGGCATGGATGGGCAGGGTGCTATGTTGCATCTGTAGTAACTAAACCAGTCTTGGTGTTAGTGGCCATAATGCACCTGTTTACTTGGTGCCTCACCAAATGGTCTCAAGTGGGAGCTGCTCAGAGAAAAGTTTTAGTTACTTGTGATGAGTAAAGGAGACTGTGGAAAGGTACAGTTCCTGGAAAGAAATTGTCTTCCTGGGGTGTGTTTGCTGGGGACTTTATCGAAAGGTTCCTTCTCTGTCAAAGGCAGCTGAAGGGACTTGGGTCAGCCCGAGTCCCCACGGTCTGGGCACGGCATGGACACTCCCATTTCCAGGGCCCCTTGTGCTTGCAGTGTGCATTGGTTAGTTGGTGGCCTACTATTGCTTCCATGTTGGAGGCCAGGGTGGCTTTCCTGGTTACCTGGTTACCTGTTGCAGATTGGAAGACGATGGCCAATAAAGCTGCTTGCTTCTGCAATTTTTTGTCATCTTCATCTTCTGCCACACCCGAGTCGTTGGATATTGGGTGCCTTAACGTCAGTGTCAAGCAACTGAGGGGGATGGGTCTCAGGACCACTGTTGTCAATTTTTGAAACTTTCTCCAGATATCCAGAGCATACCAAGATAGGATGTAGCTGTTTAGAACTACCTGACTTCCCTGGGCTTCAGGATCCCAAGTAGACTGCTTGAGACATTCTCTTAGCCTCTCTGGGTAAGGGGTGGGCTTTTCTTCTTGTGTGATTCACAGGGTGCCTGCTCATTTCTTGCGTGTCTTTTAGCAACATACTCCTATAATGCTCTCCTCTTTGCAGACCCTTTGGTGTTTTGGGTCCCATTTGGGGCCATTGTTGGGACTTTGCTCAGCTGGCCTCCACACCTGCTTAGTAGGTTGATTGGCAGCTGCTTGTGAGCTCTCTCTCTGGCCTTTGCTAGCACAGCTGGCTTCTCCTCTGTTGTTAGAAGGGGGGTTTTTAACGTTAACATATGTGCCCAGGTAGGGCTGTGAGTTGTAGAGATGCCCCTTATTCGTCAGAATTCCTCAGAGTTGGCTCTCAGGCCCTCAACGTGTGCCTTCCAGTTGTGTAAGTCAGAAATGGCAAATGGCCATTCACATTTATCTCCCTCCTTCCGCATCCGAAACCTGACAGAAGGGAAAACACGCGTCTCCCTGACTCGAGCTACGCCCGTGCTGGTAATGCCAGTTGCGCTATGGGGAAGGGATGGATGTGGTGCTGTCCCAGTTGCTCCTGTAGATGCAGAGCTAGCTATAAAGTCAGGGGACTAGATTCTCGTCACCATGAGCGGAGGGTTCAGGCTCAGGGCGAGGTACTAGACGTGGCTCTGCCCCCACCCTTTCCCCTTAAAGTCTGAAGAGCTCTCTTCCTCTGGGGGGCTAGCACAGGAAGTGCTTTCCCTCTGGGTTTAGGAGGAGGGACAATGAACTGAGTGTTTCCTGTTTCCGGCTCCCTACAGGGGCTCTTGCTGGAGGGTTATGGACTCACTGCCCGGTCAGCTGATGGCACCGCTGCCTTTTCCAGTAGTTCCTTTGCTGCAGTTTGTCACGCTTCCACACCTGTGAAATAGGGAAGCGTGCGGTCACTTAACTCAGTCCAACAGATCAACTCAGCTGGGAGACCTCCGGGATCGCCCTTTTGGGATGCTCATTCTCCGGAGTGAATCCCGACCAGCATAGGTGTTTCTTGGACCACTCCTTTTGTGACACTCAGTCTCCCAGAGGGAGGCCTGATGCTTTTATTCCTTCTCTTGTCCCTGATTCTTTCCTGATCTCGTGTTTCCTGTGACCTTTAGCAACTGTTAGACACTTATCGGGGAGGCAGTCTCAGATTGCTAAGCCCTTCATTCTGTGAGGTGCTGGACAGAGAGAGTCCAAGTGGTCGCCTCACCTTGTGCTCTCCCAGTTGCCAACTCCTGGAGACTGCCAGGCACCAGGCGGACCTCCCACGCCCACAGGAGAGAGGAGCAATGCCACAAGAGCAGGTGAGCCCTGGTTGAGCCCCTGCTGTCAGTTCCCGGTCACCTGGTCCTAAACTAGGGACAGTCCCAACTGGATTAGGTGATTTTGTTAGTAGACACAGTGATCCATTCACTTGACATCTTACCAAATAATCAGCCTCAAGTGGGACTTTCTCCGAGGACAGTTTTATTTACTATTGGCGAGTAAAGGAGGCGGTAGGAAGGTAGATTTCCAGAAGAGAAACTGCCTCCCTGGGGAGCCGTTTGCTAGAGCTTTCACAGCACTGATTAGGGGAGTATCCAGGAAATAGAACATGGGGAGCAGGGGGGCTCTTCCTGCTTGTCATGTACATCTGCACACCTTGTAGGTTCAAAGCTCTGACTCAGGGGCAGGTGTTTGGCTTAGCAGGAAGGAGATTGGTTATGACACCTGCATCCCTTAGCGGGACACCTCGGTCAGGTGCTGGCTGGACTTCCAGTTCCAGCTTTCTGATCACATAGACCCTGGGAAGCAGTAGGTGATGACTGAGGTCCTTAGGTCCCTCCACCCATGGGAGGGCCTGGATTGAATTCCAAGCCCAGCCATTGTGAACATTTGGGAGTGAACCAGAGGATAGATCTCTCTCTCTCTCTCTCTCTTTCTGGTGTGTGTGTCTGTCTTTCTCCCTCCTTCCCTCTAGATTTTTTTTTTCAGCTTTAACCCTTGGTGGTGGTGGCCTGGCTGCCTCTGTGTACAGCGTTGCAAGGTAAACTTTCCTGGCTCATCTTCTGAAAAGAAAGCTCAAGAGAAGAAACTGTTCTAGACTCTCAGCTGGGTTCCCGTGCCATGCTGCCTTGTTGTCCAGATCCTGCACTCTTGGCTCTAGTGGTTACTAGCCTGTCTTCCCAGTCCCTTCACAGCTAGAGGGTGGACAGTGGGACACCGGAACATGACACAGCCATCCTTAGTCTCTGGCATGCATGTAGAAGGTGAAGTTTCTGAATCAAACCCTTCGTATGGTAGGAAAGCTTGCGCGTGCACAAATACCCTATACCTTTCAGTACAAACATTGCTGTAACACAAATGTGGAAGTAGGATACCAGCCAAGGGAAAGGAGTTCAAACTCTGGGCTCTACTAGACAGGAAAATGGATATTCCAATAAATAGAGTTGTAGAGGCTACAGCGAGTTATCTGCACAGGCCTGAAGGGTCAACAGTTTGTAGGTAGTATCATGGATGAGTAGTTAATTAAGTGAAGGTAGCCAATCCCAGGGGAATCTTGGGGAGCTGAGGTTTTTTTCCATCTCCTTGCACAGGGGCCTTACAGGTCTTGGATTCTGTTGTCACCACCTCTTGGGTACTTCTTTCCTAAGCCCTGCTTCCATTACTTTGAAAATTCTTTTTGTTGAAATGACCTTAGTGTCAGTGACACCCACAGGCTACATTTACCTTCTTTTTAAAAAAATACAATCCTTGGAGCCGGCGCTGTGGTGCAGCATGTTAATGCCCTGGCCTGAAGCGTCGGCATCCCATATGGGCACTGGTTCTAGTCCTGGCTGCTCCTCTTCCGATCCAGCTCTCTGCTGTGGCCTGGGAAAGCAGTAGAAGATGGCCAAGTCCTTGGGTCCCTGCACCCACATGGGAGACACGGGGGAATCTCCTGGCTCCTGGCTTTGGATTGGCGCAGCTCTGGCCATTGTGGCCATCTGGGGAGTGAACCATCGGACAGAACATCTCTCTGTCTCTACCCCTCTCTGTAACTCTGTCTTTCAAATAAAAAAAAAAAAACACCTTTCCCCCTCAATATTTATATCAACTCACAATTAATTAAAGCATAATGTGTTGAAAACTTCCTTGTTTAAATTATCCCTATTCTTCACCTCACTGATTTATTTATTCATTGCAAATGACCAACTCAATATGGTATTTCTCTCAGCTCCCAGCTTTCTTTCCTAATGTTGATTAAATCTTGAGTCACTCAAAGCAAGCAAATCATAAAGAGAGACAGATAAGACTGGACCCAGGATCGTGTGACTGTAAGTCCATAACTAGTAGAATATTGGCAGGATCCTTTGAAATTTTATGCTTAATTGTGTAGGGGTAATTGGCATATGCAAACTTGGGTAAGTAATTAAATAACTCTATGTTTCTGCTTTTGTAAGTTAGGATGCTGGTAATAATTTATTAACTTCATGAAGTGAAGTCATATAATTTCATTATGGATTAAATTATGAGAAAGAAATACCAGACTAAGTATCTGGAATATACCAAACATTCAATAAATTGTGACTTTTATCATCCTGGTCATTTTTCTGTTAATTCTTTGGGTTGCAGGACTTTGTCAAGCCGAGAAAGCTCCTTATAGTTTCAGAGATCTTAAGCAGCACATGAAACTTCCTTGGAAAACTTTTCTGTTACTCTGTCCTACTTCCGCGTTTCTAATTTCAGTTGAATTGAGTTAAATCACACGAGTCCTTACAAAAGCCTCAAGAGCTTTGACAGTAGGACTGCGTCTTGTTCCGCGTGCATCACTGCGAAGCTACTGCTTTATGAGTAGGAGCTCAACAAATTGGATCAAAGCTCTAGGATGTGGAACTGGGAGGCCTATTTTTAGTTCTTGTTTCTTCCTAGCAATGAGGTGTCTTGGGTCATCCTTCTGGGCCCAAGATTTTTGAGGTCTTAAAGCCAGGTTTGGAGCCAGAAAGGCCTGAGGTTTTAGTTCCAGCTCTGCTGATGTCTGGTTTAAGGTATCAGGTGTTTCCTGTTTCAAATATGTTTTGATTCCTACCCCCCACCCCACCCCAGTTTATATTCTTTAAGTATCTGTTCAGCAAGTATTTATTAGAAGCATGGGGAAAATGATTTTCAGTTAATAAAAATGTTTTAATAGATTCGGTAACTCATTTGCTGTTTCTGGCCAAAGCAGGATCAATGTTATTGTTGATTTTGCTGTAGGTTATTTGCATGTATGTGTGTGTGTTCTAAATCCAGTAAGTAAGTGGAAGTCATATTAAAAGATTTCAAACTTTGATAATGAAATTGCTCGCTTGCTCAGACGAAGAGCAGCAGCCATGCTTATTCAGTGTCACAGTTTTACCGGCAGTGAGAGAGGACAGCAGCAAGCCTGGAAGGTGACTTTAGGCAGGGCTTCTTTGGGCATGGGGGGTGGGGGAGGGGCAGCCTTTTCTCCACTTGAGAATGCTGCTGTATTTACATTCTGCCAGTTATAAAAAGGATGATGTGATGCAGCATCAGTTGGTTGGTGTGTATTACTCAAGTAACGTGTTAACACTGAAAACAATTGGCTCCTGAGGAATTGGCTGGCGGTGGTTTGGATGTCGGGAAGGGGGAGGGACCTTTAAGAGATGGGGTCCAGTGGGAGGTCTTCAGGTCAGCTGGAGACCTGTCCTCAAAAGCAATGAAGGTACTTCTTCCAGATCCCAGAGAGACACCTCTCTCAAGAGAGAGCACCACCCAGTCCCTCTATGGCTTGCCGTCTGCTGGTGGAGTGGCTCCTGCATGCCTTTCTACCCGCAGTCAGCGGGCCCTTCCCGAGCCTTCTTCGTGCTGTTGGGACTCTCAGCCTCCAAAACCGGGCGTGAAGTAAACCTTTCTCTATGAAGTTGGTCTGTGCCAGGTATTTCATTATGGCAATAAACAGCTCACTAGTACTCCGCCTGTTGCTCTGAGCCTGCGTGCTAGGGATTGCTGTTTATCAAGCTGCTAGAAGAACGTGGTTAGGAGTAAGCATGAAGAAAACAGTGTATTTTTTAATACCTGACATACCACATATTGCTGGATGTAATAATGGTGCTTTAGGAAGCAAACAAACCAAGAAGAAACCCCTGAATTTAACGGAGATGCTAGTATAAGATTTGTCTTGTTTTTTCAAAAATGTTGAAATGGGAGTAAGTCCTGCATCCTGAGTTCTGTGGAAGTAGATGTGAATATGTGACAAACCTGAAATTTAATTTTTTCCCCTTGGGAAGGTGATTTATTGCATGGTTTCAACTAAGAGATTTAAAACAGATGCTTTTTGTAGGGGGCATATAATCTACCTTTAATGTAATCATTTTGGAGACATATTTTAAGATTCATTTTAAAAGCCAGCAAGAATATGTATGTTTAGGTAATAATATCAAGTGTAACCATAGGTGAAGGTTTGGGGTAAAACAGCAATGAAAAAAAATGCTACATAAATCACTTATAGATGTGCAGGGTATTCTTTAATACAAAAACCATGCAGGGTCAGACTCATGGGTTACTCACTGACACCGCAGGATGTGATGGGAGTATGATTGTCCTTCTCAGAGGTTAAGTGCTTGCCCTGTCCTTTATTTTCAATTCAGTTCAGCTAATAAATATGAGTCGTATCAGGTGGTGGTGATCTTAGATGTTATTGTATCTGCACTACAAAACTTCTTAAGAAATTTTTTTAAAGATTTATTTATTTTTTACTTGAAAGGCAGAGGTACAGAGAGAGGAAGAGAAAGAGAGAAAGAGAATCTTTCATCCACTGATTCACTCTCCAAATGGCTGCAATGGCTGGGGCTGGGCCAGGCTGAAGCCAGGAGCCTGGCGCTTCTTCTGTGTCTCTTGCATGGGGTGCTTGCCCATCCTTAGCTGCTTTCCCAGGCACATTAGCAGGAGCTGGATTGGAAGTGAAGCAGCCAGGTCTCAAAATGGCATGCATATGGGATGCCAGCATCACAGTGGACTCTTAGCTTGCTACACCACAATACCAGCCCCCCAAAATTGGGTTCTTAACAGTTGCATACAATGGCCAGTCAATTTTTGTTAATTAATTTTACTTAATTTCCCCAACTTTTTCTTAGTGAAGGGATTTGTATCCAAGTGTGTGCTGTCTATAATTCCTGAACAGTTACTGATACTCCGAAACACTGGAAAACTAAAAGCAAGCAAAAAAAGGCAGGTTTGTAGGAAATGCAAATCCGAGCCCCAAATCTCCGTGAATTAATTACATACCATGCGCTCCATCAGCAGTGGCTTTTAAGACCCAATGTTCAGATGTATTGTACATGCGGAGCATCCTTTATCATCAGTTTCATCACAGTCTAAATTTACATGCGTAGGAACACCCACACACACACAGTTTATATATAGTACATAAACAGATTGTAAAACAGCCCCAGGGAATAAAATACCTAACCATAAATAAGTGAAGACCCAGAAAAGCTGCTGGGAGACATATGGATAAAAAAAAAATAGTCATTTTTTTCTATTTTCACTTACTATGCACTGCGCAGATTTCAACTTTTTGGTTTGGCTGGCAAGGAGGTTTATTAGGCTAGAAACCAGTTCTTTAAATTACAGTCTTTGCCAAAGCTCAATGCACTTAACAGAAGCTTCCCCTGAATTAGGGGTCAACTATCACCGTTCTCTGAAAACGACCCTAAACACTCGTGATGGTGGTGTGAGTTGATTCTAATTCTTGGAATGAGGTCTCTCTGTGAGGACACAATGCACCACTCTGAGACGCTGTTTCCAATAAATATGGAAATTACGGCTTCCAGTGCTGGGGCCTGGTATGAAATCTCCTGGGAAATAGCTTAAAACTACTTGATAGGTTTGAAATTAATTCCTCACCCCCTCTCTGAAGTCACCAAGCTATATTTACAAGACGTACCATTGTTTCCTGCTCACGCAGACAGTCGAGTAAATGCAGGCCTGTTTTGTAGATGGAGACTGTGGGGATCAAAGGGTCCGGGCCCATGTATCCTTGGAGGAGGAGCAGTTGAACAAAGCGAGCTGTGAGTTCGGGAGCTGAGCAAGGCGGGCTGTGTTCCCGTAAGCTGGGGCAGCTCTGCCCCATCCCCCTGCTGTTGCCTTGGCTCTCCTTGGTGACGCCCTGCAGGAAATGCTGACCGGAGCTTCTCCCCTTTGCCAGAAGGGGATGGTTCTTTAAGGATGGGTGTCCGACGAAACCTCTGCTCTCAGCCTTGTGGAATGCGGGCAGGACAAAGATGACATGTGCAGGTCCTTTTGGATGCTCTGTTCGGGAACCGTGAGAGACTTAGAGCGCATTTTGAGGGAAGCAGGAGAGAAGCAAGTGGCGTGGCAATCTCAGGAGGCAGAGCAGACGCCACCTGTGAACCTTTGTTGCAGTGATCTTCCTAGAGGTCTTGACCTTGGTCCACTAGGGTCAGAGTCATCCAGTCTGTGCCTGCTCGGCTTTGCCTCCCCGCCCGTCGGTGTCTGAGCCCAGGCCGGGCTGCGGGGATGCCTGGCCTGCTCTGGGTAGACGTGGGCTGCAGTGTGCCCCACACACTTGGTTTTCCCCTCCCCTGCAGGCACCCGTGATCCCGAGTGTCCGTCTTAGCTTTCTCTGTTATGTCTGATGGATCACCTGTTCGCCTTAAATCGTGATTCCACGAGTTGTGTGAAACCTAAGAGATTACATTAACCCTGCTTTGTTGTTCTCCAACACCTGGGAAAGGACACGTGTAAAGATTAATACAAACAGATGGTTTTGTGCAACATTTTGGGAGCTGATGCTCTGTAGATCTGAGGCTGGAGTGCGCCATCAGGGTTGGGATTCGGTGACTGATGGGGAGCTGGGACCCCAGGACGCTGGCTTTGTGTGTGGAGCAGTGCTCCTGGAAGGTGAAGCTCCAGGCTTACTTCTCAGTGCTCATGGAAAAACAGAATGAAAAAGACTAGTTTATTTTGGCACCAAAAATTTTTGAAATCCTGCAAGTGCATTGCCATGAACTTTGCAAAGACTTCTCAAACGTGTGGATTTCAACGCTTTCCTCCCAAAATAAACTTTGATCTTTTAATTCCATTTTCCGCAAGTTTTGGAAGCATGCTCGTGCGTGGCTCTACCATGCCCCACCCCCGCCCCCGCTTCTCACTGTGTGCAAGACCCGTTCACCCTTACTTGCCATCGCAGCAACCCCAGCAACTCGTTTCACAGATTGCAACCCAAAGCTCCGAAACGTGTGGCTCTGTCCGAGTGTCACATTGGGCCGTGGCGGATGTGTGGCGCGGCTCTTCATCTTTTCCCCAGTGTGCCGAGCCACACGGGAAAGCCCCTCGCTCCCTCCCTCATCCCAGTCTGCTCTGCGAGCTGCGGCTCTTTTCCCGGTGGCTGATTAGGCGTCCCAGCTTTTCCTCTGTAAGCCTCCTCCCGCCACCCCTTGGCACTGTTTCTCCCTAACTTGTCATCTCTGATGTTTGCCCCCAAGGCTTTGGGATGTGACTGCCTGGTCTGCTGTTCAGAGAACTTGTGTGAAAATGTTCTGAATGTTCATTTTGGGGTATGAATATTCCCTTTAGATCTGTTGAGTCATCGGGAGTGTTGAGATACAGGACAGTTTCTGCTGAAAGAATACTTGGAATAAGAGCTTCAGAAAAATTTCCATGGGCTTCGTGATTTTTCGGAAGAGACCATCAAGACTCTTAGGATGACAAGCATTGGGGACCAGAGAGGTTACGTGACGGTGCTCACAATCAAACAGCGAGCCGCACTGGTGCCTGGGGACACTCAGTGGTCTACCAGTTCTTCCACACTCATCTCCCCGTGATTCCCTGAAAACAGTGACATACCACAGCCCCAAAATGCAAGAAGTTCACCTTTGAGACAAATCCACCATTTGAAATAGCATATGGGGGCCAGCACTGTTGCATAGCAGGTAAAGCCGCTGCCTACAGTGCCGGCATCCCATTGGGGTGCTTGTTTTATTCCCTGCTGCTCCACTTTCGATCCAGCCCTCTGCTATGGCCTGGGAGAACAGAAGATGGCCCAAGTCCTTGAGCCCCTGTATCCATGTGGAAGACCCAGAGGAAGCTCCTGGCTCCTGGCTTCAGATTGGTGCAGCTTTGGCCATTGCGGCATCAAGGGAGTGAACCAGTGGATGGAATACTTCTCTCCCTCTTTCTCTCAAAAAGAAAAAAAGAGCTGGCGCCGCAGCTCACTAGGCTAATCCTCCACCTGTGGCGCCAGTACCCCAGGTTCTAGTCCCAGTTGGGGCGCCGGTTCTGTCCTGGTTGCCCCTCTTCCAGGCCAGCTCTCTGCTGTGGCCTGGGAAGGCAGTGGAGGATGGCCCAGGTCCTTGGGCCCTGCACCTGCATGGGAGACCAGGAGGAAGCACCTGGCTCCTGGCTTTGGATCGGCGCAGCACACCGGCTATAGTAGTGGCCATTTCGGGGGTGAACCAACGGAAGGAAGACCTTTCTCTCTGTCTCTCTCTCTCACTGTCTAACTCTGCCTGTAAAAAAAAGAAAGAGAGAGACAGAGAGAAAGAGAGAAAGAAAATTTTATATGATGCTATGCTGTTACTACTAAGAAGAGACCCCTTTGTGGTATTTGTTGTGTGTCTGTTATTTTTGGCACCCTGGGCATAGTACCGAGTGCTCATGAATCATCGTCAGCTATACCTTCTTGGTGACCCTTAACAACGGCTAAACTTTTCTGCCTGAATTCACAAACCTCAGGCAGCCCACACTACCATCGATCAGAACTCTTCTCAGTCAGCCATGTGGTCTCCATTCCAGGAATGAGGCCCTACCTTGCTCTGCTGGCTTTTCTGGGGTTGTGTTACCCAGAAGGCCAGTCCCATGGCATGGTCCTGCTGCTTCTCCATTGACAGAAACTCGTGTACCGACCCCTGCAGGAGGACTTCCGAGCACTGCTGCTGCTTTCTGTGTGTCGCCCTGGTTCTGGGAACTCTCCAGTCTCCAGTTGCCCCTGGACTGAGGTCCAGGTGAGCCTTGTCCATTGCCTGCTCCATCATGCACACGTGCATACAGACACACGCACACTTGCACGCTCGCTCTAACTGCAAAGCTAACAGAAATTCTGACCGCTCCCTGCTACCTTATCTTGCTCTGAGTTTCTGACAAAAGCCAAGAAAATCTTGAGATATATATATATATATAATATTTTCCTGACATTGGACAATTGTAAACATTGTTTCTCACTTCTCACAAGTGGGAATTACTGGACATATATGAACTGAACATGCGTGTCTACATTTAAAACTAAGAGTACAAGATATTCTTCTATCACATTTGACTCTGTCAAAAGACCAAGGGGGGAAAAATCATGCATTCATTCTTCTTAGATTTTTTCCTAAGTTTCTTTATAGGGAGCTTGACTAGATGCTGAGTTGTTAACCCTGTTGTGTTTTTTTTTTTATTTTTTATTTTTTATAATGGGCGTTCGTTCAAATAAACAAGCCACTTATCAGTGGAAATGATAGCTGTGATAAATTGCCTGGGCTCCCTTGCTTACTGTTACTTTCTGGTGTCACTGAATCCCAGTTTTAGGTTTGCACAAAGCTAAGCTAAATGTCTTTTCCCAAGGAGGTTCTGTTTCCCACTGATTATTTATAGCTTTTCTCTTGCCTCCCTTCTTGGACTGTCCTATTTCATCAGTTTCTGAGCACTCATTCCGGCTCTCCCCGGCTGACAACAACTTTTAAAAAGTGTCTTCCTGGACTGTAACTCTCAGAAACTTAGCTGTTCTTGTTGAGTGAGTAGCACTAGAGGGACCCCTGTAACCCTGCATCAGAGTCTGCAGGCAGAGGCAGGCAGAGTTCATGCAGCACCGAATGCATAGATTGTAGCTTTTCTGTACTCGTATTTTGATGGGGATTTGGGCTAAAAAAATATGCAACTACAGGGAAAAATAAAGATCTCACCCCAGCACTGAAGTTAGTTTAGAATGAATGCTAACGAAACACTAGAAGTCTGCCCTACAAGGTAGAATCTAGAAGAATATTCAGAAATTACCATCCGAGGGTATCAGCAGCCAAGAAAGGCCAGTCCAAGTGTAGATACCGCTCTGCTTGCAGTTCAAGAGGGAATGCACCCACAGGCATCCACAGTGGTGATCCAGGAGATGGTAATGTTAACAGTGAGTAGGTGTTGTTGCTTTTAAAACTTCTCATTTAAAATATATCCAAACAAGCTGAACATGAACACAAGCTTACAGTTGATAAGTAAAGTAGTGTAGACCTACTTAAAAACTTTAAAATTACAAGCTTTCTTTTTTTTCTTAATCTCGAATCTTACCTTCCCAGAGGAAATACTATTACACTTTTAGTGCCTGACCTTCTGAATAGTTTTATGCATCAACACTCCACCTACACATACACAAACACAGATTTTAAAACATGAATAGCATTATGTTGATAATATTATCTGAAACTTGTTTTTTTTTTCATTTAAAAATATGCTTTTGAGATTTTTTTCTATGTTACTATATATACATCCACTTCATTCTGTACAACATTGCATTGTATGGATACCCCATACTTTATCATTCCCCTGTGGATGGACTTTTATATGGATTCCAATCTGGGATTACTGTAAACAGTGCTACACTGAACTGCCGGTAAGAAAGTCCGTGACACAGATTCCTAGAAGCAAATTGTGGGATCAAATGGAATGCGCCTTTTGCATTTTGGTACATTCTGACAAATTTTCTCTGAAGTAACTCTACCAATTTCCTTTCTCTTTAATGGCTTATGAAAATGCCTGTTTTTTCCATATTTACGCTGATACTGGGCGTTATCAGTTTTCAAAGAGTTTCTTATCAGATGGCAGATAACTTGCAGTTCCATTAGTAGTGATGTTGAGTGCATTTTTACACATTTACTGGCATAAAACTTACCTTTAGCAGTCATAAATTAAATCTTACATTTAAAAGCTAAGAGAATTTGCATTTGGAAAGTTGAGTCATTGATTCTGCAGTTCATTTGGAGGAGTAAACTTGTAAGCTACTTAAAGTTTTAAGGAAAATAAAAAAATTATGCTGTAGGAAGAAATTCTTGTTGAGCAAAGTATTACATATCTGATGTAGCTCTAGTAAGTTTAAGAATCAGCAGGGTGCCAGCATTGTGGCATAATGGGTTAAGCTGCCGCCTGCAATGCCGGCATCCCATGTGGGTGCTGGTTCGAGTCCTGACTGCTCTACTTCTGATCCAACTCCCTGCTAATGTGTCTGGGAAAGCAGCGGAGGCTGGCCCAAGTGCTTGGGCTCCTGCACCCATGTAGGAGACTGGGAAGAAGCCCCTGGTGCTTGGCTTCAGCCTGGCCCAGCTCCGGCTGTGGTGGCCATTTGGGGATGTACAAGCAGATGAAAGATCTCTTTTTTTCTCTCTCTGTAACTCTCTTTCTCTCTATATATATTTCAAATGAATAAAATAAATCCTTAAATCAACAGGTAGTGCAGTGGTACATCCAGAAGGCTCTCCAAGGCCTAGCATATGGAGTGATTTAGTATATGAGAAACGTGACATGAAGAATCAAGTAATTTCTTAAAACCATACTTTATCAATATTTTGTGTTAAAATGAAATTAAAATCATGAAATATATTAAAATCATGACAAATCTGGAAGAAGGAAGTATAATTACTGCGCATATGTGGGTGATGACTTGGGGAATTGGGAGGGCTTCCTGATTGTGAAAATAGAGAAGCACGTGTTTGGGACAGGCATTTAGCCTAAGATCTAGGATGCCCCACATCAGAATACTTGACTCCTGACTCCTGACCCCGACTCTGGATGCCGGCTTCCTGCTAGTGCAGACCCTGGGAGGCAGAGGCTATGGCTCCAGTAGTCAGGTCTCTGCTACCCATGTGGGAGACCTGGGTTGATTTGTCAGTTCCAGGCCTTGACATGATCTGAATCCTGTTACTGTGGGTTATTTGGGCGAGTGAACTGTGAGATGGAAGCTTACTCACTGTACCTGTCCCTGTCTGCCTCTATCTCTCAAATAATTTTTTTCAAAGAAGACATAATAAGTTCCGGTGTCCCATAGCTCGGTGGGATGACTGTAGTTCACCATAATGTATCATATATTTTGTAATGAATGGGAAAAGGGGATTCATAGGATGCAAACACACACAAAAATTAGATAAGAAAATGGAAAAACTTGTTGCTTAGTTTGATTAGTTTATTTTGTGTGTATGTGTTGAGATATTACCCTGTACCCCTTAAAAACATACAAGTATTACATGAAAATTTTACAAATGGTAAAGACATTTTTTAGTTTACTAACTTTGAATCTATATGAATGAGAAAAAGAAACTCCACCATAAATGAAATCTAATACCATCAGTACTTAAAGGACTTTCTGAAATCTGCAGGAATAAAAAAACCTAACACTTCAAAGGGAAAATATGCAAAAGGCAAGAGTATCATGTGAACCCTCTCCTGCTCAGGCTGTGCGGTGAAGAGCGAACAGCTGATGGAGATCGGGCGTATTGCAGAGCAGGGTGACACGTGAGTGCTTCTCTGGGTAAGATGCTGCTGTTAGTCTAGACGACAGTGGAAAACGGTGTTGTAATGAATATAACATGAGAAGGTGGGCTGTGCCAAACCAGATTTTTACAATTAAATAACTTAAGAGATCTGTTAAAAGGGTAATAATATAGCTTCAAAAATGCCTGAAATACAGCAAAATGTGAAAAGAGATGGAGTGGATATCCGCAAGTGAGGTGAAACCATGCAGTGCCTAAATTTTAGCATAAAAGAAAAGGCCAAATAATACGGGGTTACTTACATCAGATAGGGTGCTCCCACTTGTGTTGACAGAGACTGCTTCCTTATAGCATGGAAAGTCTTTTATGTGTCCTGAAATAAACTAGCATGCAGGACTTCATTTTTATCTTCTCTCCTCTGGTGGGTAGAACAGGCCAGGGTACAAACCAGAGGAAGCCCAAACACGGGGCTCAGTTTCCCTGCCTGGCAGCAGCTGTTTTATGGAGCAGGGGGAGCAAATGCATCTTTATGCAGGCTGGGCGCACCAGCACTTGCTTGACCACACCATTACACAGGAAATGGGTGCTCTAAAGAACCCCTCCAGAGTGCTTTGCAGAGGGATGCAGCATCTGCAAACTCCTTTTCAGTGCTGTGGCCAAGAGGAAGCCTGGCTGTGGTCTTAACAGTGTTCCCTGGTTTTGTGCCGCATGGAGCTACACTCCAGTAATCCAAATTGTAGTAGCCTGCCCTGAGAAAAAAAAATAAAGTCAAAGATTTATGTAAAGGAATATGCATTGCAGTGTCGTTAAAAATGGCAAACATGTAAGAAGTTAGATACCCTCACATGGAAGAATGTTTAAATAAGCTATGGCACCTTGATAAGGTAGATAAGGACCATTGTTACAGCCAGTAATGGCTCATGTTTTTAAAGACCTTTCAACCAAATGTGAAGCCACATCGTTATGTCAAGTGAGTGAAGCAGAGTTCATAATGCTTTTTATGCTATGAGCCCAGCCCGGTTTTCAAAAGAAAAAAAGAAAAGGTGCCTAGAAAGAGAGGAGGGCAGAGTAGTGCAGCTGCGGATCTTGTGTGTGACCAGCAGTGAGCGCAGGCTGAGGGAGAGTTTCAGTTGTGTTCTTGTGTGAGATGCTAGGGCTTCCTAGCCCTCCTGCGGCCTCCTTCTTGGAGTGCTTTGTTCCTGACCATGTGACCATGTTGCAAGTAGTGTGTAAGGGTGAGCAGACAAACAGGTCTGGAAAATAAAGACGTGGCATAATCAGGTGCGAGGGCTAAGCAGGTGCAAATGTCAGCTCGCCAAACTGCTGGTGCCGCTCCTTTAATTCCCTCACAGATGTCGGCTTGGGCCCCTGAAAAGCTATCTAGAAAAGGTGTCCACGTGAGGTCCCTTTGAACAAAGGCAGTTTACTTCCCCTCCCCTAATTCAAATACCCTTCGAAAATCCCAAAGCATCCGTGATAGGGGAAGATGGTGAATACCATAAACTTCAAGGAGGTTTTGTCAAATGTAGTTTGAGAATAAATTGAAAGAAGACACCAGGAATTGAAATAAAATCACCTGTCTTGGGATTCGCTGTGGTGTTTATTTCTGTAAGTGGAAGAGGTTTCGCGAAGCTCTCACAGCCTTCAGATTAGATGAACACGGATCTGGTGGGAGGCCGGCAGGTGGAAGAAGGACACGTTCTACTACCGGAAGCTTGGTTCTGAGCAGCGTTACTTCTTTCCTTCACCGTGAGGAAGAATTTCATGTAAGAAATTCTTGACTTTAAAATCGCAGACATAAGCCCCATCACAACCTGGATAAATTAGGTGTGAGGGCAAAAATAAATTACAAAGAGCAACTTCTACAGTGAACAACAAAAGAATAAAGCAGTGTCAGCTCTGAAGAAATACAGTTGAGTCAACTGACATCTAAGTGTACTGTTATATTTATGGAAGGTGATTAGGTAATTGCTATATGTACGTTAACGATGCAGACTTCTACTTTCTGGTAATTGGAGCTGGTGGGCCTTTCCTATTTCTCCCACTAAGTACAACTAAAATCACTGGATATTATATACAGAACAAACACGGGAAGATTCTGCAAGGTGGCGAGAAGGAAGTAGACTGGTGAGGGACATCAGAGCCACAGGAAAGGCCTGGTGGTAAGTTCTCCAAATTTCCTCTTGCGTCACATATGCGAAGCTTAATGCTGAAGAAGCCAGAAACTTGGGAAGGCTAATGGGTACAGACACAGCCCCAGGTGAAGGCTGCTCACTCTTGTAGTAATATCTCTACAGCGCCAAGCCACAGAACCATCAGTTTCTCCACTCCCACCCATGCCATGCAAAGCTCACTGAGAGAGTCCAGACTTTTTTTCACATTACAGAGGCTGTAATAATTCTGCTGTTGAGGTGGCATCAGTGGCCTGGAAGGGAGCCAGGACTTTGATCTCTGCTGACTGGTGGTGAGTTGCTCCCAGTCATCGTCCATGCTGTCATGTCAGTGGAGACTACTTGAGGAGTGTAGACTTACACCTCTACCTCTCACTCGGGTGTCATTATAGGCCAGGTCAAGAATCTGGGCTTCCTGTCTCCAGCTGACAGTGAGGAGGTGGTACTTTTTCTTTCCCTATTGGAGCAGAGTCAAGAAAAGCCAATTAGGACAGAACATTTATCTAAGATTCAAAGTCTAAGTGAATAATTTAAAAGTATCCAGGTTTCAGCTGAAAATTATGCTTAATAATAAGAACCAGGAAAATCTCAAACCATATCAAAAAAGGACAACCAAGCAATACCAACATTAAGATGATCGTTAGAAATATCTGGCAAGGGCTGGCGCCACGGCTCACGAGGCTAATCCTCCGCCGGCAGTGCCGGCACCCCAGGTTCTAGTCCCGGTTGGGGTGCCGGATTCCGTCACAGTTGCTCCTCTTCCAGTCCAGCTCTCTGCTGTGGCCAGGGAAGGCAGTGGAGGATGGCCCAGATCTTTGGGCCCTGTACCCGCATGGGAGACCAGGAGGAAGCACCTGGGTCCTGGCTTCGGATCGGTGCAGCACGCCGGCCTTAGCAGCCACGTAGGGGGTGAACCAACAGAAAGGAAGACCTTTCTCTCTGTCTCTCTCTCTCTCTCTGTCTAACTCTGGCTGTCCAAAAAAAAAAAAAAAAAAAAAAAAAAAAGAAAATAAGAAAAGAAATATCTGGCAAGGATTTCAAAGCAGCTGTGATAAAAATGCTTCAGTATGCATTCACAGATACTTGCAGTAAATGAACAAAGTCTGGGCAAAGAAAGTGACTCATTAAGGAAATATAAAAGGAACAAAATGGAAATTTTAGAACCAAACATGCAAAAACAATAAAATACTCAATAGATGGGCTTAGTAGCTTAATGGAGGAGAGAGAGGAAGGAGTCATTGAACTGGAGGAGTTAATGATAGAAGTTAAACAATGAGAATGAAGAAAGAAAAACAGACTAATAATAAGGGGACTATAATTATAATAGTTTATTATGGTAAAAGATCTAACACTCGTGACACTGAGCCTTGGAAGGAAGGAGCAGGAGAGTAGTGCTAAAGAAGTTCCTGAAGATATAATGGCTGAAAACTTCCCAAATTTGGTGAGCTATCAACCTAAAAATTCAAGAACCCAAGAACACTCCTAATAGAATAAGCAAATAAATCTAAAAAAAGAGACATTCCGAAACTATTGCATGTCTGAAAACTATTTTCAAGAAAAAAAATCTTGCAAATGATGAAAGAAAAATGTCACTTTTCCTATGCGAAACCAGAATGACAGCATATGTCTCATCAGAAACAGTGGAAGCCGGGAAGAAGTGGCATAATGTTTTTCAGTGCTAAAGGAAATGAGCAGAAAGGAAACAAAGTGGGACTTTGTAAAATTAAGAAGGAAGAACAACATGGGTTAAATAGATTAGGATTTCCTTCCTTTGGTTTCTATAAATTATTGTTTCATGGTAGATATATTGGTTTTGATAGCAATTCCTATCAAAACTCCAGGAAGGTGTGTGTGTGTGTGTGTGTGAATATTGGCAAGACCATTCTAGATTTTACATGGAAAGGCATAGAGAAATTGCAGTAGTTCAAACAATTTTGGAAAAAGTAAATGGGAGGAGTAGTCACACCTTGTCTCATGACTGCATATAGCTCGAGTAATCAAAACTAGCTGAGGGATGAAACCTATCCACAGAAGACAGGAGAGAACACAGAGACCCTTGCAAATGTGAAAACAGACTTTGACAGAGGTGCAAATTCAATTCAGCAGAGGTAAGATGTCCTTTCTAACAAATGGCGCCCAAAGAGTTGGATGTCTGCACCAAAAAATAAAACACAATCTCAGTGTTATACTTTCTATAAAAATGCAAACTGGACTGTGGAACTTGAGAATCCTGAAACTACAAAACTGTTAGAAAAAAATTGGAGAAAAACTTTGGGATCGAGGATTAGAAAAAGAATTCTTAGGCTTGACTATAAAAGCATGATCCACAAAAGGAAAAAAATGATAAATTAGTCTTTATTAAAAATTTTAGTTCCATGGAAGACATTACTGAATGGAAAATATAACTTCTGGCCTGGGAGAAGATATTTGCAAACCATGGACTCATATCTGAGAAAGGAGTGGTACTCTAGAATATATAAAGAATTCTCAAAAGTTAGCAATAAAAATAATCCAATTAGAAAATAGAAAAAAGCATAAAGATATTTCACTGAAGAGCACACACATACAAACACCGTAAATCTATCAGAAGGTGTTGGACATCATTAGCCATTATGAAAATGCAAGTTAAAACCACAGTAACATATCCTGGATAGCTCTTCAAATGTACACCTATCACAGCCACCCTAGAAAACAATTTGGAAGCTCCATAAACAGCTAAATAGACAAGTACCATATAGCTCAGCAATTGCGTTCCTAGACAATTATCTTAGAGAAATGAAGACTTAGGCTTGTACAAAAAAATCTGTAGACAAATGTTTACAGCAGCTTCATTTGTAATGCTGAAAATTGGAAACAAACCCATATGT